TTGAAATAAAAAAAAAGGGGTCTTAGGAACAGCGTGTGATTGTTACTGTCTCAGGAAGCCTTGGTCGGAACAATAAGTCTAAATGCTATTTACACTTATTTGCGACCTTCTGCCAAATAAAGTCAATGGGGAAGCCAGATTCATTCTACAGCCACGTTACTAACTTAAATTAACAACTGTAGTGATTCACTTTAGCAAAAAGGTCGTAAAAGGTCGGGTTGGATTAGATGACCTACAAAGTCTCTCCCAAACTCTGTTAATCTTAATCTAATCTCTAATCTCATAACCTTTGTCAACAAGAGGTATGCAAGATGTTAAAATCATCTTATTTCCCGGCTTCCCTTTTGCAGCCAACAGAAAAATCACCCCCGATGACCACCAGAAGTTCGCCAAACTGGTGTCCAAGAAATGGAAACAGGTGGGCCGGTCCCTCTACCTACAGACCAAATGCCGAGCCCTCCGGGACCCCTTCATCGATAACCTAGCCATTGAATACGAACGCGAAGGCCTGTACGAACAAGCGTACCAGATGCTTCGCAGGTTTATTGACTCGGAGGGCAAGAAGGCCACCATTCAGAGCCTGATGGCTGCCTTGGAAGACAATGGCCTCATCAGTTTAGGTGAAGAACTTTTGGGTCTCCACCAAAGTGACTTGTGAAGAAGAAGGGGAAAAGAAAAAGAGTCTTTTTTGGAGACTGCTAGCTTTACAGTGTGATTGATCCTCCCATACTGGTCTTTCTTGTGCATCGGATTCAACGATGGCTTCTCCCTACGATTGTTTCCCAACAAGAATCAAGTTCAAAATCTTGAAGTCAAACTGGAAGATCAAGCACGGTTTCCACAAGAAATTGCAAAGCCTGCTCTAGAACAGGAGGTCCCCAAACTTGGCAGCTGAGAGAATTCTGGGAGAATTAAGACTGAGAGAATTCTGGGAGTTGAAGTCCACAAGTCTTAAAAAGTTGCCAACTTTGGAGACCTCTGCTCTAAGAAAGAGCAGTGGGCCTTCTAATTGGAAAGGAAAAAGATGGCCTGCCCAGGCACTGTCAGATTTAGGAGATCCGTAGCATAGGACAGGGTGGGTAGAATAAGAAGGAATGGGTCCTTCTCAGAGGGAGATCCGACCTGGAAAGAAGGAGGAATTTCCTAACAGTGAGAACAATTAATAACGGAACTTTCTGGAGTTGTGGGCGCTCCATCATCGAAGGTTTCCAAGAAAAGATTGGACGGTCTTCTGTCCTGGATAGTATGTGGTCTCCTGGTGTTGGATTAGTTTGACCAAAAGACTTCCAAAGCCCCTTCCAGCCCTATGGTTCTATGATTCTCCCTCCCCCCACATCACGATCTAACGGCAGATTTAACCTTGGTGTTCTCCTGGTCTTCAAGGGGCCTTCTGAGTAACTAAGGAGACCATTAGTTCAATAAAGAATAGCCCAGATTTATTTTCATTTTCAACTCATGACATTCCATTCTTTGTATGTGTGTGATTCAATCAACTACAGACCAGTCATTCTCCATCAACATTGGGAAATGTATGAATCCTCCAGATATCAGCCAAGCAACTGAAGAGATCCCTGTTTCCTAAATAGATGTTATTATATTACAAAAATACCTCAGGGGAGCCATTTCAAGGAGACCTTGAGCTACGAGTTCTGGATTGAGACGAACTTGGTCTACTTGCTGTTTGAAGGACTTAAATCAGGAACGTCCAATCTGGCAACTTTAAGACTGGTGGACCAGTCTTCTACCAACTTCTTTCAGAGCTGGCTGGGGAATTCTGGGAGTTGAAGTCCACAAGTCTTAAAGTTGGACATCCTGCCTTGGATGTTCACATTGAAGGCCAACAGATAGGGAAGACTGATAAAGATGAATTATTCCTTCATAAACACAGTAACGAGTTGAGTAGGCAAGTCTCGCCCATCCCTGGGTCACGTTTACACTAACAGATTTTTTAATGCTGATATTTTCAATCTCTTGAGTTATTCATGAGGATGCTTCTATACCAGTGTTTCTCAGCAATTTTAAGCAATTTGGAGTTCAGTTCCAACCCCCTTAAAATTTGGAGTTCAGTTCCAACCCCCTTAAAAGTTACCAAGGTTAAGGAACCAAATCTTCTAGGATTCCAAACATTTTTCTCTGATTTTGGAAAACTTGTCAGCACATTTCCTTGAAACAAGACGAGTCTCAGGTATTTAGGATAGAACTGTTGTATTTTCTTCAAATTCAATTTTTTTAAAGCAGAAATTTGATATATATATATTTTGGTTCGAAACAAAACTTGGTCTGCATGAGAATGATTTGACTGTTTTTTTTTTAAGTTGAGCAGGGAAATTGAGCACATGTTCACTTTAATCTTTATAGTTGCTGTGCTTAATTGCTTGCTTCTCTTAGTCTTTTCATTAGTGCTAAAACATGGAGCCACATTTAACATATTAGCACTACAATGCTGTAATGCTGGATCAAATACTAACAGTTATAATTTGACAATGACTAAAACCTCATCTCTTTTACCTTAAAAATAAAAACCAAGAGGATATAATGCTATAGTGCTATTTCTTTTAAATCTAGGAGGAAACCTTTCTGTTGCACTGCTTCTGTTTTGCTAAAAGATTTTGGCTAAGACTTTTAAAATCTTATTGTAAATGACTGTTAACTTCTAGAATCGTACTCATTCCACTAATATTTCACTATATGTTCTTTTTAATCAGAGCTGTATATTTGTTTTAATTCAAAGCAATTAAAAGGCAACAATATCAATATCCTAGTTGCCTACCAGAGATTTTAATAAAGATGTGATAATATTCAAAATATATTTGTTTCCCATCAAATCATGCACAGAATAATACCAGAAGGAAGACCATGAAAATAATGAGCATTGTGGCATTTTTTTTTAAAAAAAAAACATTTATAATTCTGCTTATAGCTGAACAGCAGAAAAACTATTGCTTAGACTTATTTTTCCAAGCTACTACAAGTAATCCTGAAAGTGGTGCAGTAGCCTGGAGATGGAGCTCTCGCCTCACGATCAGGAGGCTGTGAGTTCAATCCTAGATAGAGGCAGCTATTTCTCTTGGCGCACTGAGAATATATTTGCTGAATAAAACTCCACACTGGTGACAAGAAGGGCATCCGGCCAGTAAACACCCAGCTGCATTCAATTGCCCAGATTCCATCCCGCAAAGGATTATGGGGTCATTAAAAGAGGATGATGATGATGATGACTACAGGTAATCCTGACTTACATTCGTTTAGTGACCATTCAAAGTTACAACGCCACTAGGGGGAAATGGCTTATGGCCCATGTTTCACATAACCACTGTAGCATCCCTAGGATCACATGAACAAAATTCAAATAATTGACAACCGGCATATATTTATGAGAGATGCTGTATTCCAGGGTCATGTGATCCCCTTTTGAGACCTGACAAGCCAAGTCGGCGGGGAAGCCAGCTCCACTTAACAACCGTGTGACTAACTTAACGACTGCAGTGATTCACTTAACGGTGGCAAGAAGGGTCATAAACGGAGGCAAAACTCAACTATCTCACTTAGGAGGAGAAATTTGGGGTTCAATTGTAAATCAAAGACTTATTAATTTTGTACTAATGTTTAATTTTCATCCTTTGAACTATTTTGCTGTATGTCAGCCCTTCTAATGCAACTAGTGGATAGAATTGGATTTGTTTCCTTTTAAGCATTCAATGTGGAAACAGTGTTGGTTTTTAAATCAAAATAAACTAATGCTCTGTTCAGCATTAAAAATGAGTGAACTTAACTATAATCAGGCGATTATAGCTATTGCAGATTATATAGAAATCTGTCAATTTCACTCACCATTCCTTCATAATATGTTGCGTTTTAATCTCTCCACTGAAGTCCTGTTTTTCAAGCTCTAATAATTTCCCTTTGGACAACGAGCTACATCTAATATGATTCTTTTTTTTAAAAAAAAAGTTTAATGTTTTTATTGGGTCATAAAATAAAAAATAAGGCACAAAATAGGAAAGTAAATGGGAAAACAGTGGGGAGGAAGAGGCAGGAGGAAGCGGATAAGAAAAAATAAAAAGGAAAAGAAGCATTAACTTTCTGACTCTCTCCGTTGCAGTAAAATAAGGCACTAACATCAAATCACACCTTTTTGGTTTTGGTTTTCATCAGAACAGCAACAAAGCCATTTCTATAAAGATCTATCAAGCGAATCGGTAAAACCCACAATCAAAGTTTCATTCTTTTCCACTTCAAGCCCCAGAAGCGGTCTCCATGTGGAAACAAAAGGACTGATATTTCTTTTCTTCCATCAAAATAGTCAAGGCCTCCCCCTATCCCGTGTGTGTGTGTGTGTGTGTGTGTGTGTGTGTGTGTTCTGGCTTAGAAAGCACTCTATGCCAGGGGTCTCCAACCTTGTTGGAGTGCAATGAGGTGCAATGACAATAAAGTAAACTAAACTAAAACTAAACTAAACTTGGCAACTTTACAACTTTTTGGACTTCAGAATTCTGGGAGTTGAAGCCCACGCGTCGTAAAGTTGCCAAGGTTGGAGACCCCTGCTCTAAGCCTTGAACTTGGGGGGGGGGTGTCCCCTTCCCTCAAAGGTGGATGTTCTGCCAGAAGTGTACCATGAGGATATATTTTTTTTAAAAAGAAAACAAATAGCTGAATTAGTAATCTGTCTAGTCCTGGCAAGGCAATTCAGCAGAGGTTCTGTGTACCGAACAACCCCCATCTGTGTGCAGATCCTGCCAATTTTTATTATTATTATTATTATTGCTGCTTCTGGCAAACATCTGTACGGGGCAGGCTACCAAGCAGATAGACAAGCCTTTTGACCCAAAACATCTGCTAGAGGTCACGTGAGCAGGACCAGAGGAAGATCTGCCTTTTTTCTCAGGCAAAAGAACGGAGATTTTCTTTCACCAGAGGCGCGCAACGCGGGGAAGCAGTCCTTGGAAAGCAAAAAGGAGCGGGGAAGAAGAGGGGTGGAAGAGGCCAGGCGAGCCCTTTTCCCATGTCATCCTCTTTAGAGAAAGCAGATCCTCGGTGAAATGCACCAGAAAGGGGGAAAAACAGAAGCGCTCTTCCTACAGCTCGGCTACGTTTTCCAAACTATACGTCGAGGGGAACGCCAGAAGTAACACGATCCAGATGTGCCAACTTGGCAACTGTGGGACAGAGCCTTAACGGAGCAGAGGCGGACGTTGGGAATGCTGTAGAGGTAAGAGTTGAGGCTTTGCAACGGATTGGGAGGATTTGCTTCGACTGGGTGACTGACACATTTGGAAAGGAGAGGATCCCGCTTTTCTCTCGGCGTTCTGCAATACTTCAGGGTGGGGTGTTGTTTCCCCCATCAGCAAAGGGGCATATTGTAGGGGGCGTGCATAAGCGTACCAACGTGCCTACCGTCCCTGTCCTATTGTTTCTCTTATTCTTCTTTTATTTTTCTTATATGTACCCATTTCATGTATTCACAACTATATATACACTTATACTTATCTTGTAAACAATTGGCAAATCAAATAAATAAAATAAATAGAGATCCCCTACCATCCCCCAAACGCCTTCCCTGTTCCTTGGGACAGGACTGAGCTGATCTCCCAGGGAGTCAAGAAAAAAGGGTTTGTTTTCCAAGTGTTTCCAAATTTTAGGGATGCGTCTGCTCAAAGGGCCACCACCCCCTCCCCAAAATAAGCCTATCTCCCCTGCATCATAGATTTAAGAACGTTGCCTTCCTAGGGAACGAAATACAAAACGTAAAATAAATAAAAGGAAACAAAAAGGCATACATTCAACCCTAACAACAAGAAGAAAACAGTGTACTAAAAAAAAGAGAGAGAGGAAAAAGTGGTCAATTAAATTTAACATTGAAATCTATGATAAAACAATAAATATTGTTTTTTTTAAAAGGACTTTGCATTCCAAATAGCAAAACTGCAGAAGAAGCTATTTTGTAATTGCTAATGATCTTGGAAATTGATGCATGCATATGCATGCAACGGGAAAGCTGAAAAAAGATCGAAAATGTAATTGGGATTTTTAAGAGCAATATTTTCTCCATGTTATCTCTTCCCACGCTCTTTTTCCAGTCTCCGCAGGAAAGCAATGAGACAAGAATCCTTGATTTGTAAAAAAAAATATCAGATATAACCACCTTAAATCAAGGAGGGAAACAGGCTAGAATTAAGGAGAAATTTCCTAATAATGAGAACAATTAAGCAGTGGAAGTCTAACGAAAAGAAAAAAAGATTAAGGGTGACATGCATGATTGCTTCTCTTCCAATACTTGAGAAGCTTGTGATGGGAAAGAGTGGGTTGACTTATTTTCCAAAGCACCAGAAGGCAAGATAAGTAATGGATGGAAACTCATCAAAGACAGATCCAGCCTAGAACTAAGGAGAAACTTTCTAACAGTGAGAACAATTAACCAGTGGAACAGCTTGCTTCCAGAATTTGTGGGTGCTCCATCACTGGAGGCTTTTAAATCCAGTTTAATTCACCACACTATAAAAAAGTTGTTGAGACTCTAGAAAAAGTACAGAGAAGAACAACCAGGATGATCAGAGGACTGGAGGCTCAAATATATGAAGAACGATTGCAGGAACTGGACATGGCTAGTCTAGTGGAGAGAAGGACCAGGGGAAACATGATAGAGGTCTTCCAATATTTGAGGGGCTGCCACAGAGAGGAGGAGGGGGGTCAAGCTATTTTCCAAGGCACCTGAAGGCCAGTCAAGGAATAATGGATGGAAACTGAACAAGGAGAGATGCAACCTGGAAATAAGGAGGACTTTTCTGACAGTGAGAACAATCAACTAATGGAACAGAAGTTGCCCTCAGAAGTTGTGGGAGCTTCATCCCTGGAGGCTTTCAAGAAGAGATTGGATTCCCATCTGTCAGAAATGGTGTAGGGTCTCCTGCTTGGGCGGGGGGTTGGACTAGATGACCTACCAGGTCCCTTCCAACTCTGATTATCTGTTATCTGTTAAGAAAAGCCATTTGTCTGAGATGGAATAGAGTTCTCTATTTGAGCAAGGGGTTGGACTAGAAGACCTCCAAAGTCCTTTCCACCCCTTAAATGTTTAAGAAAGCCAACTCTGGGTTGAGCTGCTGCCAGGGAGAATAGAATTAGGCAGGCACATTGTAATTTAAAATGCAGGCGGTCCTTGACTTATAACCTTCCTTTAGCAACTATTAAAAGGTACCGGCTATAGTGATTAGATCTGCATGGGCTCTTAAAAGTGAAGACAGCAGAATGAAACAGAATGTGAAATGCAATAAGATCCATTCCTTTTGCAACGAGTCAAAAAGTTACAACAGCCCTGAGCAAAAGCGACTTATGACCAGTCCTCGCATTTATGGCCATTGCAGCAGCCTCGTTGTCACATGATCAGAATTGGGACACTTGGCAAATCAGTATATGCACCCGCAGGGTCTCCAGGTCGTGTGATCGCCCCTTATTCGGGAATTTCTGCTGAATTCCTTGCTTGCCTCCGCAGGACGCTAAGCAGCGTCGTCTGGAAGCAGGTGCTGAATACATTTACCGAGTTCCTTTCACGCCCATAATCGGTTTCTTAAATCGACTTAACGGCCACAATTCAGCCAAACATTTTTGTGGCTAAGCAAGTTCAGCTCTTTAAAGTGAATTTTGCCCCAAGCTTACGACCTTCCTTGCCACCGTTGTTAAAGTGAATCACGGCAGTTGTTTCAGATCGTAACATGGCTATTCAGCAAATCTGGCTTCCCGGTTGACTTTTGCTTATCAAGAGGTTGCAAAAACACACGCCAATTGCCCAA